TAAATAAATTTTTTTTTTAATCCCATTAATTTGCATAAAACCATTCGAACATGTCTTTTGTTTCTTTTAATCATCAAAATGTAAAATATCCAAGATTTCTAACATTGTTGGGAAATAACAACCTTGGCTCGAAACAAAGATCAAATTTTCGAGCAACTTAAAAACAAACATCCAATTATGCCACTTCAACAAATTAGGGCTTGAAGCCTTGTAAGTGGCTGGTTGCCTAACCTTCTTGAAAACCAATGGAAACTTGATCTTGGAGTTATGAAAGAGCTTTCTGGACTCCCTTTTGCAAAGCTTGGCGGGATGGTGACGATCTTGATGCACCGGTGGTAGTAGGAAGTTATCCCAGTTTACATTTTGCTCACTGCCAAGCCCATTGTCCAGGGCGAAAAAAATCCCCCCACCCCCCCCAAAGTCATAATCATTTTATACAAACATGTAGATAAATAAAAATATATATTATATATATATATATATATATATATATATATATATATATATATATATATATATATATATATATATATATATATATATATGGTTAAGTTATTTTGTTTTTAGTAATTATTGTGTGATAGAATGCACGGATCTGGACTATTGGATGGAATATAATTAAAGATTATGATCTGAGGGTCTATGATAGTAGAATAAAATAACATGTACCATATAATCACACAAATTTGAGCATAAGGGCACTTTAGTCAATTAACCTATATTAAAAAAAAAATCGGATTTTTAAGGATAATTAAATCCTTTATTTTTAAAATTCTGAATATTTTAAATTAATTTAAAACTAAAAATCCTATTTTATTCTATCAGAATGATAGACTTTAACCATAAACTAGTAAATATGTTTTTCGATTTTATTCTGTTAGAATGTCAGAATGTCAACCATAAACTAGTAAATACATTCTAAAATAATACACAATCGATTCTTGAATTAATAATATACCAAATAATTGTATTGTATGATTGTGATTCATTAAATAATAACAAACATTCTGAAAGAATAACAAGTATAATTCTTAAAAAATAACAACATTCTTAAACAATGAGTGTGATCATTCTTTAATTCATTCTTCAAGCCTTTCTCATCAAGTCTTCAAGCCATTCTTCAAGCCATTTCTATCAGAAATTCATTGCCAAGTAATTTGTAGTGATACACTTGTGTTTGCATTCTGATATGAAAAAAAAAAATAAAGAATAAAATTCGAGTTCATTTTAAAGAAAAATCATTGTAAAAGAATAAAATTAAAGCTGTCCTGCCTTTTTTGGTTGTCTAGGTCTGATCAATTTGTAGGATTACATGTGAAGAATATTTTCCTTCTTCATTCTGAAAGAATAGTAGCTTTCTTCAAAATTAAAGCTTTCCTGCCTTTTTTGTTGTTCCTTTTTAGCCTTTTATTGCCCGCATTCTGAAAGAATTTTCTGGTGAACATTCATTTGGTAAAGCAAACAATAAATCATCACAAATCAAAGAATGTAAATGGAATGGAATGGAAACATGGAATGGAGTCAGTCATTACCTTGAGAAGGTGCAATAACTTAATAAGCAAGACCACCAAATTCCTTCCATTTTCCCAACATATTAACCAAGAAATTCCTACTGTACTTTCTGTGCAACAACTAAAAAGGAACAACAACAACAACAACAATATAAGTAATTATTCAATTCAACAAGTAAAGAAATAAAGAATATGTAAAAGTTTAATACCTACGAGATGAAACTCAAGATGGTTCACAAAAGATAGGCTGCTCCATTTACCTCTGTCAAATACCAAATCCCAAACAACCACTTAGGTATATCGATTTTGTCAAGAATCACAAAAAAAAAATGAAGAGGAGCTACCCAAACGATTGTCATGGTTGATGACTGTCCTGCTGCCTTCGTTCTTTCTACTTTGGCTCCAATATCTTCCCTCTTCAATCAATCAAGAACTCGGGATAACCTTCCTTTCTCCCATTCGATCGAGCAACGAAAACGCCCCATGTGAGCTGCTACTGCCATCAGTTCCTTTCCTACTCCCTGTTCGCAGTGGGTATCCATCATCGACCCACCCCTATTATTGCATCTTGTTCGTTTTCCCCTTATGTTGATCGAGTTCTTTTTCGTTTTCTTTTCTTCCAGTCGAACTCAATAAACAAAACACTAACCTGAAGTCGCTAATCTCCTTTGATTCGCACCTCACGGTTGGAGTAGAAGAGGAACAGATTTCGCATATCCTTTATGAGGAAGATGCGTAGACCTGCCTGAGCAGCCTTGTTGCCTTCGTTCATCTTCTCCTTCTCGATCAGACGAGGATCGAAGTCCTTTTCCCCCAATTCACATCGTCGACACCGTAATAAGAAAATGAGAGGAGGCAGAAATAGAATACGTATATATGAGAGGCTAGGGTTAAATAATTGGTCAAACAGTTTTTTATGGTAATTTCCATACATAATTACCCTTATTATAGTTTTTAATTATTTAATTCTTCCTAAATTCCTATTGGTGCATTCATGCACACAATAGTTGCTAGAAACATTTGAACATATATATATATATATATATATTATATATATACACACACACACACACACCCATTACATATTCTATACTTTTTGGGCCTCCTAAAGACATAGACCCTGGGCAGTCTATCACGATCGAGATTCTAGACTCTTCCGGAGTATTCGAGAAAATGGGAGAACTTACAAGTATAGCACATTAGACCCTGGAACGACCTAGATTTCTCTAGGACATCGAAGAATTATTTTACAACATGTCATGAAGACTTGTAAATATATGTAGCTTGGTAGAATAATCTAGAGTAGTCAAGAATATAGGACTAATGTAGTAATATCTAGAAACTTTCCTAGAGGGGGAAGGACAAGTATAAATAGGGATGAACTTATTTGCTCCAAACCATTAGAAACCTTCCTTGTATTCTCCCGAGCTCTTATAATAGAAGTTATCTTTCGTTTGTAGAAACTTGAAAGCCTTATTCTCTTGCTTACTTAATCATTTATACATCTCTAGGAAGTGTTGTAGCCTGACTTAGCCGAAGTTACACTAAGTGGCACACAATGATCGAGTCATCCATGACATGGCCCAGGTCGCTTATCGTCGTCCTTATCAACTGCACCTTTAAGGGTGGTGTCCATGTATTCCTTGTATATGTTATGTAACTTTCTTCTTGAATGGTATCTTAGCCAAATACCATAGTTTTGATGGTTGTTGGGTTCTTAAAAAAATCCCGTTGATTGTAAGCATTTGACCATTGCTATTCTTCACATTTTTCACGAAATACCAAAACTTTCTCTTCTATTTTAATAAATGAATGTTTTTTTGTTACTTGTCACACTCATTCAAATTGCAAAATGTCTTTTTGTGGTTATTTTGAATTTTTTTTTTTCACATGTTATTTTATTGTTTTTCTATTTTATTAAATTTCACATAATATTTAAATTCAATAACAAATGCATATTAATTTTCTTAATGAACTTTCCTTTTAATTTCAAAAATACTAAATTAATGCTTCATTAATTTTCTTTATTCATTTATCTAAATTATTTGTTTAAATTTATATAAAAAAAAAAAAAAACTTCTAAATTATTTTATAGAAAAAAAACTTCTAAATTATTCATTAATTTTCTTTATTCATTTATCTAAATTATTTTATAATTCAATATTTTTCTCATTTTTCTTATAAATTCAAACTTCTCGAATGTTTAGAATTTTATATTTAGTTTTTTCTTTTAAATAAACTCATGTAATACATGAGTCTCATACCTTGTAGCGTATATAGTAAATCTTCATGTTTCTTCTAATGGTGTTTGGTAATAGAGGCAATAGAGAAAACCTATATAGGGAAATCAGGTAGTCGGTGGGGCAGTTTAGGATTATTGTTCAGGGGAGTTTCAATAAGTTGAAAGTATAGGCGAAGGAAGGATACGGGGTATCAGTATGGGGTTGATGCTGATGTAAGTGATAGGCTTAGGTTAAGATGATAGTGGGCGATTAGCAGATGAAGGGATGGGTTGGAATTAAGAAAAGGGTTTGGGAATTGAGTTCATTGGCGCCTTTCTTTATTGTTTCCAGTAATGAAGCCTTCAATTCCTTCTCTTTCTCGAACTCCTTCCCAAGAAGACAAAGGAACTCTTCAACATCTACTTTATTTCACTCAACATCTTTAAACTCCGACCAATGGATTCAACCCCCTTCCGATTTGAGATCCCACTACCGATGGAAGCATGTAGATCGGAGCAAGAGAGCATCCTTCCTCTACCCCTTTCTTCAGTGAGCCTTCCTTGAGTTTCGTTATTTTGTTTTGCTCCATGACTCGAACACTTTTGGTATGCTTTCCCTTTCTTTGGTATTTGATACCCTGTTTTCCTTCTCGTTGGACTTCAACAAGAAATACAAATGTAGAACCCTAAAGGATTTCACGACAAATATATGTCATGTTATACTTCACTACAAGAATAACACCATGTGCCCACAAATTCAATGCCAACGACATGAGTCGTCGGTACAAATAAAGCTATACCGACGATATTTCGACGTTACATGGTTGATTAACTTCGTTTGACATGGGTATTTATGCCGACAACTTGTTGTCGTCATAGCTTCGGCGGGAATAAAATGTATTTACGCGGTTTTCTCAAAAACTGTGACTACGAATTTCCATCAATATAGGTTGCGGAAATTATAATTTCGATTTATTTATACTCCATGGTGCGGAAATTAGAAAATGATGTTTTTTCAGAAAGTAATCCCGACGACAAGTCGTCGGCATAAGATGTTGCGATCCACGTGAACTCTATCCCAACGAAAAGTTTTCGGCACATATAATTTTTTTAATTATTTTTTATTTACAAGAAGAACAATACGGCATAGTTTTCTTTTACCCTATAGTGATGACTTGTTGTCGGCATAATGTTTAACCTTAAGAAAAGTTAGTTGATCGAGTTCATTTGCATCAGCTTTGCACCTAGCTTTCTCTCTGGTTCTCTCAATGATGATCGACGCTTCCGACCACTCCCCTTTACCGACAACGAGCATGTATGATTCTTGGTCCTTCTTTTCTACGGTTTTTGTGATTGCTCATGTTTTTTACTCCGATTTTGGGTTTTTTCCCCTTTTCCCTTCACAGCCCTTAACCATCGTCGACCATTCACCACCGTCAGCCTCTACATCTCCTTCCGTTGAACTCTTTCCGGTGATTCAACAACCTACACTACTGGAGGTAAGGTTATGAATTTTTTTTTTCGTTGGAAATCTTATTTTGCTCATGTTTATGCTCACTATGATGTATTGTATAGTTATATGAAATTGAAATTGGGTAAAATTTTTGATTTTGTGTTTAGATGTATTGTATTGTATGAAATTGAGATTGGAGTATAGAATGTAAAGTGCTTAGGTTTATTAGTTTATCTTATTTAGATGTATTGCATAATTGTATGAAATTAGAATTGGAATCGAATGTATTATATATTTGTATGATTATGTTAGTTGTTTAGGTTTATTAATTTGAGATATTTATAAAACTAAACAATGACAACTTTATTAGAATAACCTAGTTTTTTTTATGTTGTATATAAATTAACAATGTTTTTCTTAAATAGGGTCATTCTACATTCTACACTCGAATCAGTTATTTCTAACTTATCAAAATATATAATATATATGTTTTTTTTTTCTTATTTGTATAAAAAAACTTTTTGAAATATTTTTTCTATTTATGTATGAAATGTATATTTGGAAGTGTTTAACATCAATGTTTTTCAACAAAATGTCAAATTTTAATAAAAGTAAGTATTTTTTTTTTTTCAAAATTTCATATTTCAATATTTATAATTTTTTTCTTATCTCTAAAAAAAATAAAAAAGAAAACGGGTTGACTAAATTGACTATTTGGCGTTTTTGATCGCATACAATTACATTCCCACCAAAACTTCGCCGGACCGGTATGCCTCCCGCGTTCTTATCATTGGATATTCCTTCTCATTTTTTTTATGTTTATCTAATATTTATCTCTAATCTAGTAATTAAAAAAAAAAAAAAAAGGATATGTGAACGTTAGGGTTTTGTTGATCTTCCTCTAGAAGAAAGTTTTTCATTACGTCAAAGCTTTCAATTTCTTTCAAAGTACGTACATCGATCATATAGCGTTTCTTTTTTCAATTTTTTCAATTGTTGTTTCTGATTCGCTTATCTTGTAAACCCATGAGGTAAACTCATTGCTGAAAATCCCAGTTATTGGTGAAGTTGATGACACTTTCTTGATAGTTCTATATAGTGTACGTACGTTACTTTTTTTTTTTTTTTTTTTTTTTTATAGTTTTTACATGCAGAGTTTGTATGTGATTCTCATAAGTAATAAGATGCTTCTACATTTCTCTAATATTCTAGAATGGCTACAAAGATCAACAAGGATTTTCGTAAGGGCTGCAAGTGTAAGAAGTCCAAGTGCGTGAAGCTGTAAGTTAGAATTTCAGTATGCTTGTATTACAAAGTCATGAACATTACTATTGTTGGTAATCAGATAATTCCTTTGCAGTTATTGTGATTGTTTTGCTGGTGAATTTTATTGTGGTGAAGATTGCTCTTGCACAGAATGCTTCAATCGAGTTGAATATGAAGATACAGTTGAGGTGGCACGTGAGAAAATAAAAGTGAGAGATCCACTTGCATTTGACCCCAAGATTTACCCCGTTGTACAGTCTACAAGAAGCCACAACGTATGATCTTTAAACTTAATTAGGCTATATATAATAACTACATGCTAATTAATTGATTCTTAATGAATAATGGTTCTCAACAGGAGGGTGGAAATCAGGTGATGCCAGTTGTAGGAAAACACAGAAAGGGTTGCACTTGTAAGAATTCAATGTGCTACCAATTGTATTGTGAGTGTTATAAGGTTGGTTATTTACATTGTATATGATTTCAGTTCATGTCTAATTCTCTTTACTCCCCCTCAATTGCATGTGTAAGCAACAACTTTTTGCCATACACAATTATTTGTGTTTTATAGAGTTTAATATGCATAAAAGAATGCTATCATTGTTGTATGTGGCAAAAAAATATTGTCTATGAATCAACTATCTCAAATTATGTGTTGAGTTGTGAAGTCTAATTACTATGGTTGAAATCTGATACTTGATAGTTTTAGGGTGAAAATCAATATATCTCGATGTAATTGTGCTCATCCATTAAATAATAATAAATATCTCTAGTTCACCAACCATATAAATCTTTTATCTTTACTTTTCATTGTATCTTTAATTTTGTGGTTGTCTGGAAAACCTAACAAGAATTATATATATATATATATATATATATATATATATATATATATATATATATATATATATATATAATTCTTGTTAGGTTTTCCAGACAACCACAAAATTAAAGATACAATGAAAAGTAAAGATAAAAGATTTATATGGTCGGTGAACTAGAGATATTTATTATTATTTAATGGATGAGCACAATTACATCGAGATATATTGATTTTCACCCTAAAACTATCAAGTATCAGATTTCAACCACAGTAATTAGATTTCACAACTTAACATATAATTTGAGAGAGTTGATTCATAGACAATATTTTTTTGCCACATACAACAATGACAACATTTTTTTTATGCATATTAAACTCTATAAAACACAAATAATTGTGTATGACAAAAAGATATATATATATATATATATATATATATATATATATATATATATATATATATATATATATATATATATATATATATATATATATATATATATATATATATATATATATAGGGCTGTAAACGAATTGAACGTTCGGTGAACCGTTCATGAACTGTTCGGCGGGAAGTTCGTTTATGTTCGTTTATTTAATAAATGAATGAACATGAACAAAAATTATCGTTCGTTTAGTTAAATGAACGAACATGAACAATGGTCTCGTTCGTTCATTTATGTTCGTGAACGTTCGTTTATGATGTTCATTTACGTTCGTTTATGTTCGTTCGTTTAAATTTATTTATGTTCATGTATATTCAATTATTTTTTATTATATTGCTATATTATATGTTGGTTTATGTTCATATATGTTCATATATGTTCAACTGTGTTTTTTTATCTTTGTTCGTTTATGTTTGTTCGTTTATGTTCGTTTAGCATGTTCACGAACATAAATGAACGAACATGAACAAGAAAATCTCGTTCGTTTATCCGTTCGTGTTCGTTTGTTGTTCGGCTAACTTAAACGAACGAACATGAACAAGACCTTGTTCGTGTTCGTTTGGTTCGTTTATATATATATATATATATATATATATATATATAATATATATAATATATATATATATATATATAAACGAACCAAACGAACACGAACAAGGTCTTGTTCATGTTCGTTCGTTTAAGTATATATATATATTTTGAGTTCATCCCATACCACAGGCTAATGTTGGATGCACTGTTGGATGCCGATGTGAAGGATGTAAAAATGGGTTTGGCATCAAAGGAGGTAAATTGGATACATATTCTTCATATAAGTAAAATCATATATGTAAATGATTCAAGCAACTATTTGTGTGGCCAATAAATGATTAAGGCTTTTTTTTTTTTTTTTTTTTTTTTTTTTTTTTTTTGTTTTTTTTTCTAATTTAATAGGCTTTATGTTAAAAACCAATCAACGTGGACAACTATATATAGTTTTTTCTTTTGCACTTAATTTTTACATGATAACTTACGGGATAACTTAATATATTAATATATTAACCCTCACCTATTTGTTTTTTTTTTCTTCCAACTTCTGTAACGTTACAGTTAATGAATATTGTTAATATTTGATTTATATTGTGAAAATGTAAGCATAAATGACCATTCACCCCATAGAAAAGAAAGACCGTATGTGTACACCAAAATGATGTTATTACTCATTTAGTGACTTTACCCAAGCACCACTATTGAGTACAAATTTAGAAACAACTCCTAATATTATATTTTTTCAGACACCTACACTTTAATCTACTTCTAAACTCTTAGTTTTCCAACTGTATCACAGACCGGACTCGATCGGTCAACATTTTGGAGGAAGGATATCTCAGTATCCAAGTGACATGTTTGTCCCTATGATTATATGCATGAATCGTTTTACATTTTTGTTTTATTTGTTAAGTGTGGATTCACGTATTTATTGCTAGTAATAATTCCATATATCTTGTATTCCAGAGTATAATGTGTATAATGCACTTCAAACCATGAGAGCCATCAATGAGAAACCAAACGACTGTGAAAACACGAAATTGGAGTTAACTAGGTTGGAATTTTCTCCTCCTGAATCCGGTTATCTTCAAAGCTCAACTCCTTTGACAAGGTTTCAATATCCAGAGTAAGATCTTTATCTTGAACTTTTATTTTGACTCCAAAAGTCATAAATTTATCTAATATTATTTCTTTGTGTCTAGCCATGGAAATGATACATCAAGAACCGAAAGTTACATTAATCCATCACCAATATCTGCAATCAGTGGGGTGATAGGAACAAGTACAAGAGAGTTTGATATTGGTTCTTTGAATCAACAATCATATCCGTATGTGGATCAAAGCATGGATAATCAACTTACACCTGGAGAGATCAATGAAATGTTGGACTGGAACCCTAACGAGACCCTTATATATACTGCTGTCGACAACATGACTCAATATACCAAGTGAGCCTTCAATCATTTCATGTACAGGCAACGTGCATGTATGCTTGTCTTCACCAAATGATATAAGTGAGATTCTCAAGAGATATAATAGTGAGAAAAAGCAGAACAAAAAGTTAGACATTACGTTTTGGTACTTTTTTTCTTGTTGCCTCATGTATTGATGCAATGTGGATGTGAACCTATCAAGTTTGAGGACTACGGATGGGCAAGTGAGTTTAGATGGCCATTGGGTCCAAATCCTATTTCTAGTGTTTACTATATATCGATAATCATACTAATTTAAATGGATAACTACATTAAAAATATTTGGAACTGGCTTTCTAATTAGTCTTTGCTTAGATATTTCTCCTTGCTTCGGAAGAGCTATTAATTTCTAATAGTTTATTAATTACCTAAGAATTATTTGGTTTGTTTGTTTTTTGAAAGAAAATTTTAACCTACTTCTAAACTAGTAACTACTCTTTAAATTCACTTATATCCACAACGGAACTCGAACATTTAACCTTAATGAGAGAGAGCAACACCGGATAACATTGGACTAGAAGTCCTTTGGTAATTACTTTGTCTTTGTAAAAAAAAAAAACTCACCATGCTGGAGCATGTAGTTAGAAGGATGCAATAAGATCTAATGATCGATCCCATAAGATGTTGTCATGTGATGGTTGAAGAGTCTAATTAAGTGATATAGTAAGTTTCAACCTCATAAATAAATAGGTGCATGGTGTGTTGTTTTTTTTTTTTTTTTTTTTTTGTTAAAATTTATGCGTGTAGGAAAACATATAAGAAAAAAAAATTCTTTTTCCAAAACACAAAAGATATGAAAAAAAATCTTTTTTTACATGTTTTTCTTTTAAACACATATAATAGCTTCTTATTTTAGTAGGTTTCTAAGACCACCTCCAACCCACAGTCAAACTCTATTTCTTTCCCGGACGTTTACCACCTCTACAACCAACATCACCTCCACCAACATTGATTTTAAGGGCCTAGTGCAAAATATATAAAAATGGGCCCTTCAATATTTTTTATATAAACAAAATTCATTAATGCTACACAAAGTTAATAATTATTGTGAAAATAATCAAAACTAAAGATAATCTTAGATAGTCACGCGAGAATCTCTTAGTATGTTAACATTTGATTAAGTTGTGAATTAAAAAAAAATATATTATGTAAAAATGAAGTGACCGATAAAGCTGATTAATAAAATTTAAAAAAAATGGTTAACTAGAAAAAATGATTATGCAAAGTGAGGAATAAACCTAATAAAATACTAAAAAGAATGGACAAGTTATTCTTAAAAATGTATGCGTAAAACTATATATATATATATATATATATATATATATATATATATATATATATATATATATATATATATATAAAAGATTAGATTATTGTGTTTTTTATAAGTATTTTGTGCATGTCTGGTTGATTATGAAGCGACATTTTAGTTATTTTAAGTTAATGATTAATAAATATTATTACATTAAAGAGAACACAAAATACCAACTAAATAAAATTAAAGGGTATTTTAATCAATTAAGACAAATTTAAAAAAAAGAAAATTTGAGATTTAGGGATAATTAATGCTCTTGATTTAAAAAATCTGATTTTTTTAAATTAATTCAATTTCAAATGTAATTTTAAGTATAAACTGATTTTATTCTATCAAAATATTATTTTGTTAGAACGATGTTCTCTAATTTTATCAGAATGATATTTTACTATAATATTATTAAAGAATCATTTTGTTGAACCCTCAATAGTTGAATAATAACAATATTCTTATATTTATTCATAGACATTCGAACTTAAATACAAATTAATATATATTCTTACAACATAATAGTCTTATACATTTTAATATAATTACACATATTCTAATTGAATGTCGTGAAAAAATGAATAAAATTCTTACAAATTTGCATTTTAAATATATAATTATTGAACAAATGCACTTGATTTTTTTCAATAGTCCAAATTATCGACTTGATTCCAAATATTCTTACGAAAATATGATGTAGTATCGTAAGAATGTAATTCTTCACAAATATTCTTGTTTTTGAACTCCATTCCAAGTCTCTTCTCTTGTACGATCAATATTTGATTTTTTTTTTTAAGGCATTCTGAAAGAATAACATGCATTACTCGTTATTATTACCATTTAAACAAATATACTTGTTGTTAACAAAACATTCTTAAGAACTCCATTCCAAGTCTCTTCTCTCTCTCTCTCTCTCTCTATATATATATATATATATATATATATATATATATATATATATATATATATACACATACATACATATTAAGAACTCATGTCGATTCTAAGGATTTAAATGATCTTCAAATGCTTAGAACAAGCCAGTAAAAAAGCTCTTAACGCACCGCGAACCCCCTCAGGTTTAGGACTGCCTCCACCTTTATCACTGTTGTTGTTAAGACCATGTCTGCTACCTCTACTATCCTTACCTCCATAACTGACATGGTCATCAATAAATGGTACTTAAAATTCCCTGGATCTAAGTCCATACTATAAACCATTAAGTTAAAAAGCATGCTTATAATGAGAATGTTACTAGATAAGAATATTTGTTCTCGTAGATTTTGGAATCCAACTTATTATTGGTTGTTTAAAAAGGCTCATTGACAACTTTTTAAAATTTGTTTATCCACCCATAAAAAATAGTTTTACAGCTTGATCTTTGTCTTTCTTCTCAATGTATTTTTTTTTTCAATTTTTTTCTTCCTTCTCATTGTAAACTGTTTTATTTAATATATATATATATATATATATATATATATATATATATATATATATATATATATATATATATATATTTGTCTTTTACTCTTTGTTTAGACACAATGGGTATATCTTCCTATCTAATAAAAGAATTGTTTTATTCTTCTCTTGATATTTGTCATCTTATTAAGTCTCATAATTAATACATATTTTATTCTCCTTTTGCCATGTATCATCATATTATATCTCCTAATTAATACATGACATTTCAAATTTCAAATTTTAAATTTCTCACTTTAATTAGATTAAATTAATAACATTAAAACAAAAATTAAAATAAATTTAATACAAATTATAAACTGATATAACTTCACATGTTAATTTAAATCAATGATTAAAATTTATATAACTAAAAAAATCTCTTAATTAATAATTTATTTAAAATAGTTGATTATTAATTTACTTTTTATTTTAAAAGTTCAATTAATTGTATAACCGTGGTTCTCACGGGTTATAAACTAGTGTGTGTGTGTGTGTGTGTGTGTGTATATATATATGTGTGTGTGTGTGTGTGTGTGTATGTATATGATTAGGTTAAAATGTTGATGACATCTATTGTGTGGTCGTAAGGATAATTCTAAACCAATTGATGAAAATTATAAATGATTATGATCTGAGGGTCTACGATACTACAATGGAATAAATGTATCATATAATCTCACAAAATTCATTGTAAGAGTAGTTTAGTCAATTATACTATATATAAAAAAGGAAAGTTCTAGATTTTAGGGGATAATTAATTCTCTTAATTAAAAAATTATTTATTTTAAAATTCATTCAATTTTAATTTTCACATAGTTTTAATAATAACCGGATTTTATTATGTTACAATGATATTCTGTGAGAATTTAGGCCATAAGATGATAGAACCTTGATTTTAAAAAAAACTTAAGGTTTTGTCCACTAAAACAAATAATTCCCTAAGAATTAGACACATAACAGAGCATTTCAATCATGTAAAATATATTCGGATAGAATGTGTAAACACTTTTATGAGAATGAACTTACATACAATTAGAAAATAAAATACAACTAAACAATAAAAATCATAAAAAAACATTCATGAAATTCTTGAAAGAATCTCCTATCCTTTTTGGTGCATTTCTAACATGTATGTAATCAAGCATAAAAACAAAGCTTTATTTTTTAATTAATATTCAATAATTCTTGATTTTTTTTATTTTTTATTTTTTATTTTTTTGCAAAAAACCACCATTCTGGAAAGAATCTTCGTTCACCTCCTTGGTTAATTTTTAAATGTCCTCTTTGATCTCTAAACCACTTCAAAATATGTTGACATTCTGTTAGAATAACATTATGCATGGAGTTGTAGAAGGAAATGAACTCAATTATGGCAAGCAATCCATAAGTAAAGCTTGAAACATTTGAAAAAACATGAAAAACAAAAGTCATGATAAAATATTTAGCCAATTGCAAGAACCACAAAAACAACTTTAAAAAGCTCAATATACTTTCAAAAGAATCATTATTGTATGATTATGTCATAATATAATACTCTATACAAATTATTATAACAGAATAATATATTTTTATAGAACAATGTGAAATTTTATATTAATTACATGTTCTTACATTCAAGAAATTTTATATTAATTACATGTTCTTACATTCAAGAAATTTTATATTAATTACATGTTCTATCAGAATAATACATTTTTATAGAACAATATGAAATTTATAAATTTTATATTAATTATATGTTCTTACATTTTTATAGAACAATGATATAATAATTAATTGATACATAAAAAGTTTGATTTGAAAAACTAACCAATAAAATACTCTTTTTGTTATTTATGTGTTGTCTATGGAAAAAAAAAAAAAAAAAAAACCATTTATATATAATTTTTTGTTCATGCCTTGTGGAACTAAATGGAGACAAACATTTTATTTTTTTAATCTTGTATGCTTAAAATCCATAAAAACTAAACTTTTTTTCTTCCATTTATATGACACATAAATTAATTAATTAATAATCAACTCAAAACACTAAATTACTAGGCAATTTCTGCACTCGAAATAATTAGAATAGTTTCAATATAATAAGCATTATATTTTTACAATCACATACAAATTCTCAAAATAATATTCTTAAATTCCCCCCAAAAAAAATAATAATAAAATAAAACAATAAATGTAAAGATCGTCAGTATTTGGTGTTTAGTAAATTTCAT